AGTTCCGGAAAACTGCTTTTTCGCCCGAGGAAGTACCAGCCTCCCAAAACCACCCGAGGGCGGAAAACTGTTTTTTCGCCCGAGGAAGTACCAGCCTCCCAAAACCACCCGAGGGCGGAAAAAGCTTATTTTTTTTACTCGAATCCTCGAGCTCAAAAAGAAAATTAAAAAAAAAAAAAAAGTTATAAAATACAAAAACATGCAGAACTAAACGTTTGAACCTGTAAAAAGCCAAAGAGAGCGAATTTTGATGAGATTGCATATCGCTCTGGTATGTAAATAGGTACAATGGCAGCTGACGTTTTCACGCCTCCTGCAAAAACGACACGCGCGCGCTGACTCGGCTCCAATGAAATTGAAGAAATAGTGTACCAATTGTATGTAATCATCATCGTTGCTGCATAAGCGAAAAGAAGGAGAATAAAGAGAAAAGACAATATAATATGTATTTTATGCAAGTATGTATAGTGAGTGCAGTGCCGTGGCCGATTAAATTGTGGTATCATCTCTGGATGAGGTGGAGACGAAGCTCAATTAACGGGTCTTCGGGGAGCCGGAGCTTTGCACCATGTACATACACTCCGTCCATTGCCGGATGATCATAATAGTCATCGTTTGGACTTTTTTTTTTCTTCGTGTTGTCTTTAATTGCATTCTGTATAGACGCTTGGTATTATTAATATCCGCAGCCCCGTTTCGTACCACTACACGTTGGAAGGTTTTTTTCCTTTTTTACCTGTGGTTCCACAACAAGCACGAAATGATGAGTCTTTGTGAAGCACTTTTTTTCTATATTGGTATGTATATTATCTCTCTAAATTTGAAGTAGTGAAAAATTTGCGCAAGTGAACAAGATTTTCACTATCGAAGTAGTGAAAGATCAGGGATGTTGATTCACACCCCGTTGATATAATTAAACAACCCAAATACGCGTTATTTCAAGCGATATCAACAAGTTAACCAACTGATTAAAGTGGGGAAACGTTAATTTGGTAAAAATAGTGAATATTCACTAGTTCCATTCAGTTTTTAGGATACAACATTGAGATAGTAAAATCGAACATTTAACTTTTTAAATAGCGTGTATTTTCACCATTTTACAGTGTATGTGCACTATACAGAAAAAAGTTGTGTACTTATCACTATTTCAAATTTAGAGAGTAGCGAAACGATCAATTAAATTGAACGCAAATGTATGTAGGTATACACAAAAAAGCGGTACAACCAATTTGAACCTCATTAGAAACGTAAATCGCGCCTCCGGACCATTTTACTCTCACACCCGAATCGGTACCGATGCAGATCTTTCGTTCCACGGGAAAAACATTACACGCGTGCCGTTTAATTCCGCAGATGGACCCCAGTCGGTGGGATCGACAACAAAGGAACAATGCGAGTATTTGAGGAAGCAAATTGACGAGCTGAGGAGGAAAGTGGACGAGCTCGAGCGCCACATCATCGACCGGTTAAGATGCCGATCCAAGCGCCGAACTGCCAATTTTTCCTTTTGTTCGCCAAAAGAGTTGCCGGAATCGATGGTCATAAAAAACAAAAGAACTGTAAATCCAAATTACTGTGCATTATACGGATCTTCATTCAAAAAATCGTGTATGAAAATTAAAAAAAAAAAAAACGAGTAATCCTGCACCTGCGTAGCCTTTGAGGGTAAGTTGTACACGTACCTTTCATTCATCGACTAACGGTTGGAAGAAAAAGAAAAAAAAAAAAAATAAAGGAAACAAAGAGCGTGGGAAGCATCGAAACGAAAAACTCGCCAACCTTTTCTTGGCGTATAACGGTGACATGTTATGTATGTGACGCGTATTACAGTCGCACTTTGCGGATACCTGAGTCAGACGGAGGGAAAAAAAAAAAAAACCCCGCCCCGATGAAATCGTAATGTTCATTCGCGCGGAGAAAGATGTGGGAGCGGTCGGAGAGGAAAAGGCGCTCGGGCTGCGAAGAAAGGCACGATATGTGTCGGACCTGGTGCTCGTTGTGCAAAAGAAAGCGAAAACCGCGCGTCAGCGAAAGGGAATGCGCGCGTATAGCGAGGAAGAGTACACACTGCAGCAGCAGGTAATATCCTATATATGTGGAAAGAAAAACGGGTATATCGAGACAATGCGCCGTATGTATATACACACGCAAAAAAGTGCAAACACGCGTTGATTCCGCACTGCACCGCAGCTCGCGTACATATATACTTACGCATGAGTAAGAGAAAAAAAAAAAAAAAAAAAAACCGAGTGAAAGAAGAATGCGTAATGAGGAAAGAGACCGAGATCGCGCGTGTCCACGTCGCTGGGGTGGGGACAAAGACGTCCTGGGCACTGCAGTGCTGATGGGCTTTGCAGCGACTTTTTTCTTCTCTTTAGTATGAATGAGCCTGCGTTTTTCATACTTGGAGTGCAACGCCAGAAATAGAGATTATCTCGTTGAATGGCGTATATACATATATATATGAACGGGTACATTCAACTTGCTGGGCGTGTAATCATTTCGCCAACCCGTTTTTGCAACTTTGTGGAAGAGCGTATGGACACAAACAAGCGCCACGGGCTACGTCTTGGACACCGTGCGAATGGTAAAAAAAAGAAGGAGAAGAAATCGAGACGGAGCCGAAGTGCTCCTAATCCACGCTCGGTCCTTTTTCTCTCCGTCGACCTTACCTGTCCCTGGCCCCCAACAAAAAAAAAGCAACTGCGTCTTTCCCAACACCCTTTCTATGTATCGGAAAGGGCAGCGCTATATCTCCACCGACTAATCATTCAACCGGGAGCGACAAAAAAAAAAAAAAAAAATTACCACCCATATCATACCTATACGGCTCTCTCCGAGGGTTTCTCCGTTTTTTTCAGATTTACGTACCTCTTTTATGGTGCTTTGCGCTCACGCCGGCGTCTGGGCTTTTCTCGGGACCTCTTCGAGTTTTACTCGTTTTTATACGTTTATATATATATATTTACTTCGCATTTTGTGACGCTTCTCCACCTATCTCTGCCATCGTCATCTTCTTGTGTGGTGAGATCGTCTTTAGAAATTTTATTTTTAGCCCACGGATTATTGATTGGGTCAAGCGAGAAAGATACAGTATATGTGGTAATTTTTTTTTTTTTTTTTTTTTTTTTTCAGTAGCCTCTCTATTTGCGTGACGTTAAACTGTAAGGGAAAATTGTCAACATTTGGTGGTGTACTTTTTTATTTTACTTTTATTCGGAACAAGCATATATTTAAACTAGATAAATTGCTACGCTTTTCCAGCTTTTCGATGGCCCTGAAGTGTCCAGGATTAGAGTATAAAAGACGGTATGATGTGTAGTGTCTTGCGTTTAGGGGAGTTTTTTTCCTCGAGGGGCATAAAAAAGAATATACGGAATATTGAATAATATTGGCAGGGGTGAAAAAACAATGAAAAAAAAATGCCACTGTGAAAGAGAGAGAATTTGGCTGAATAAGCTTTGCACGCGTGCCAAATCATACAAAGCTGTGGCTCCGGCTTGGTGATGGACGGCCGTTGGGTGTTACGGATGCATATAAAATTACGGATCGCGTTTATCTTTCCTGGAAATGCAGATTTGCTATACCACTGTAGGCTTTGATTTTATATGGGTGATTCCACCGCAACTGACTTGATATGGCTCAAGTAATTTGATCGGAAAACACAATTAGTCAATTTTTTTACGTCTATTTCCGGTACGTGTAAATAAGCTACTAGTGTATAATTCGATTGGTCTCACCTATAGCTGAAACTTGGAACAAAACCTATCAATTAGAAAAAAAAATACGAGCGTTTAAAAAAAAAATAAATGGCTATGGATAAAAAAGCTTTTTTTAACACAAATGGCGAGAGGCACGTGTCTATGATGTTCTAGCCCAGCAGTAATGGAAAAAAAAGTTTGGTGATAGTTCGTAGCTCCAAAGTGAGAAAAAGAGTCAGTTATGGTGAAATCACCCGTATAAATATTACATAAAAAAAAGGAAAGTGCCCGTGGCAACGATAGATTAACATGAATTTAATCCGGTTGAAGATATTCAGATTTGGGTTTCTGTTTCAACAATCGAGCATCAATGAAGGTCATGAAAAAATTCCTCATTTTCATTTTATTGCACCTAAAGTGATGACAGAAAAGAATAAATCATCCATTGTTCGCGTCATATAGTTGGCCAGTCATTTCTTAAAATGAACATATGTAATTAAAAAATTCGTGTTATCAACAACAACAAAATTCTTCGTACCTATACGTATTAATCTTATCACCGAAGTTTTATCCTCCGATTAAACGTAGCTAAGCCGAATATCAATTATTGGGTAACATAAGTTCCAAGTAAAGATATTAGGTTCAACGCGTTGGGAAATTTTGAAATTATTATAAAGGTGATTGTCTCCAACGTCAAGTCAGTATTTTTTCCAATATTTTTTTGTTACTACCAAACATGAAAAATTTCGGTCCATCGAAAGATCATCAGTTACACAATATATCTTCTAAAAAAAAAGGGGAAAAAATAAGTACTTATAGACGCAAACTTTTTATCAAAATACAATAACTCCGTTCTCGAGACGAACAAATATATATTTACTTGTAAAAACAAGGATTGAAAAAAAACGATAATACTTGGCTCATCTCTGATGATTTTGTATAGCTATACGTGGACGTTTGTGTTGCAATTTCTGATGTAAAAACTATGTGTCTAGCATTTGACGTATACGGTAACTCGGTAACAGTGCACAGATTGAGCACAAACAAAAAAGTACGAATAAAATTGCGCCAACGTCAAAAATACGACTTTTTTAACTGCAAAACGACAAAGTGTATAATATATGCGCTCCGAAACTCCGAAACAAAAAAGATAAGGTGGAGAAGCAGCTTAACCGAGCAAGAGCGTCAGAGCTTGGAGTATGGCCCACGGAGGGCGCTGCATTCGCTTTTAGACAACCAGCCGGCGGCATCAGCAAAAGCGAGATAAAGACAGTAAGTAGGTACAGCCAAAGCAAGAGAAGCAGCTGAAGAAAAGCGATCGACCTCATAACGAATCACGAGTTTTAGTGCCCAGAAGATAGTGTGGGAGCAATGATCAGGTGGCACAGAGGGAAGGCTGTTTTGCTCTTCTCTTTCTCCTTGTCTTCGTGTTCGTGAATGTACAGCTACTTAGTTTATAGTTCTAAAAAGTGTTCGTCGTCGTCGCCGGGGCGTATACCGTGTTGTGTGTGTGCGTTTGTTTGCTTTTCTACTACTTACATGCTTCACAATCTTCACATGCTTAGGTACTTTTCACTAACATATTAACAGAGCAAGTGAGAGTTCAGAGTTGTGAGTATATATGTGTAAGTGCGTAGCCCATTTAAGAGGTCGACGACTGTGGAATGTCACAACACTCAATAGCAAGAACACTAGTGTGACAACTCTAAGGTCCGAGGAACGCCCAGGAGGTACGACGGGCTGCTCTCCGCACCATATACCTACTTAAGACGTATATATTTATACGCAACTGTTGAAAAAAATTTGTCTAACCTAAAAGTTAACAACAACAAATTTTTACAGCATGTTCTGTTGAAGAAACATCTCGCTGAATCTTACCACAAAACCTGCATTATATACCATACGATGCGCTGCTAGCAGGCAGCAGCAAAACGGTAACGACGACGACGATCTGCAGGGAGTGTGCATCGGTGCAGTCTGCTGGAACTGCAGCTGGACGACGACAACAGCGGTGGCGGTGGTGGTAAACGGGCGAGGACGAATATAACTTGCAAGAACAACTTTTAAGGTAACCATATACCGGAAATTTAACTAGCCCCCAAGTATTGCAGCCTATTTAGATTACCCATCGGTATAATATACTTGAGTAATACTTGCCATGCTTGGAGTATACATCAGGATTCCCGAGATGTATGTCCCCCTATATTGTATGTGCTTTCTATTTGACGTATAGTTGTTGCTAGCTCCGTTTTTCGTAGTTTATTAATAGGCGGTGTTAATTTCACTTTGCAAACATTAATAAAACGCGCGCGTGTGCGTGTTGTATGTGTAGTATGCTTCGTTTCGTTTCCTCTACGTCTCTCTTTCTCTCTCTCGGTTTTGCATGCCGTTCGCGCGAATCGCGGCCAAAGTCATCGCGATACTTGAACACTGGCCAGCAAAGCTAGAGGATATTAATGCGTATGTAACGTGAGTGTACATAATACATACTACGTATGTATAAAGTATTATTATACTCATTTGAAGCCGGAACCGGCTCTCTAAAAACGAATTCCGTGAAAAAGCTGTTTCGCATAATTATGTGCGTACAGTCTTTGCTATAATTAAAGTACGCGTTTATTCTCTCGCATCTGTCTTCGTTGGTAAGAAGGAGGAGGAGGAGGAGGAGGGCAATTTACCCGATGGAACAGCAGGAGCAGGAGGGCATTGAACGGCCCGTGGGAGTCAAAGGTCGACGTGCGCCGGGGCGACGTCGAGACCAAGACTTATACGAGTCCACTTGCTCCTGTGCGACATACACCCTTATACTTGTAACACACATGCACTCTGTTTTCCTCCCTCCAACCCCTTTTCCGTCACTCCTCCCGATTTTTCTTCCTTTCTTTCGTGATCTAAACGCGCACGCTCCGCCCTTCTGCCGGTTTTTTTTTTTCCACCAGCAGAACAGCCATAGAAATGTCGAGTGTTCGCGAATAAAGGACGAAAGGGAGAGAGACGTTTTGCAAGCTTGATGGATAGAGGCTCCTATATATGCGCTGCTTTGAAATCGATTTCGGAGCTGCAGTTGGTCTGCTGCAGTAGCAGAAACAGCAGGAGTAAAGAAAGAGAAAGAGGATCAAATACCATACTCTGCAGTGTCTTGTTCACTCCCAAGATGTGTACATTTTTTTTCTCCTTTCTTTGCTTTCATTCTGCTTGCTATACCTTTTTTTAGCTGCATACCGAACAATTGTTTTTTAGAAATAGAACTTTCTTAGATAATTTATTTTAAATTTATAATTTTCAACTAAGTTCTTGCGTTAATTTGTGTAAACGATTTCTCTTTGAATGTTATCGCGATAACACACGCGTAGGGTTGTCATGACTAATTTGAAAATTAGTTTCATACGAACAATCACACGTTTCTTCTCGACGTTTTTTTTCTTACTAACAACCGTGTGTTTCCTTTCTGGACAGTCGATGTGGAAAAATCGTTATTTGCAGTTTTTAAATTTTTCGTCTTGCATGAGTAGCATTAAATATGGACGCGTAAGTGATAATGATGGCTATAGAAATCGAGTAGGCGAGTGCAAAAGAGCATATTGAGGACGCAGCCTTCGGCGTAACAACAAGTGTAAAGTTGTTTTTTTTTTTTTTTTTTTTTTTTTTTTTTTTTTTTTTTTTAAATATTCATTGATTAGGACTGATTGCTCTAAATGAGACCGGTTTCGTTCTGGGTCTGTACGTTGCCGTTACGTCATAAGTGTTGTACTTGTACGTTAGTTAAATGTTATAAACTCTTCATAAATGATCTTGCCCAATTTATTAATAAACATATCAGCAATTGTGCACGTGATTATATTTAAAATGCTCGTCACTCACAGAGAATTGTGAAATCTCATGCCATTTGTGGGTGAAGGGAGAGAATGCACTTCATTTGTACACTCAGTATGAGCTCCTTAATTTTTCATGCTCGTCAGGTCGTTGGTACTCAATGGAATTTTCTCTTTCTTTTTTGCAGGCACGCAAAATGTCGAAAAAAGATGGGAACAAAATGCTGGTTCACCAGTTGTCATCTGTGTTGCCAGATGACAGGCCTATTACAGCAATAAACATCATAGAGGACATAGACAAGTGTCCACCGAATTTCACTGTTGTAAGTTTTGATAATGTAAAGCAATGCAGAAAATTCGTGCTTCCTGCTTAAATTTTTTTGGCAAGTTAAATACAAATTTAATAATCGCGTTAAATTTGATTCATCACGATTCCAGGTATCCAGAACCTATGATCTAGATGCAGACGCGGACCTATGGCGAGAAAGTGGTTTGTTTATAAAGAAAAAATCCAGATACCTATGTTTCTCAAAGACTGAAGGACTGCCACACTCTGTGATTGAAAAAATATCCATTGTTGACGAAAGAGAGCCGCCTCCCGAAGGATTCAGCATGATATCTCACACTGTAGACACGAGTAAATAACACGATTTCGTAATTTTTCTCAGCATTGTTCAAGGCTGACGAAACTAATTACTTCTTTTCACTTGTTACAGTGCAAAAAGCATGGCGAAAACGACAACTGTGTTATAAAATTAGAAATAAGGATTTGTGCACATGTGCGGTATCAGATATTATTATTTGCAGTAGGATTGGCAAGGGATCCAAAATGGCACCTAATGAATTTACTTTTGCTGGGTAAGTTTTAAAAAAATTTTTATCTAAAATGAAGCTTGAATAGTTTTTTTACAATTCAGTATTTTTAATACGTCATACTTTCATGTTGTACATTATAAATATTCCATACTTGAGTCCACCTGCGCTTGCGACGTCCATTCCCTTTTTATATCAATTTTGCTTTTTTTGTCACCCTTTTAATACTGCACTAACCCCTTTTTACTTTCAACACTGGATTTATTTTAATGAAAAAACCATACTCTGTAATAATAGTCATTTTTTTTATTCTATCCGATTTTTATGTTTTAGATTATAAATATTTATTATGACTCCCACTTAAGCTCACCTGCGCTTGCGACATCCCTTCTCTTTTTGTTTTGCGTTTACTTTTAATTACGCTGTTAATTTGGCATTCATGGAAATTACTTAACTCTTGATTATTTTAATCTAAAACTTTTTTTAATAATTACACTATACACCATATCATACTTTACATTCTACAACGTTTTTATTTGCTGTATTTCTTCTCCTTTTTTTGTTCACTGTTTCACCTTTAAACTTTCCTACTCTTGCACTAGAGCTTTTTTGTAACTCTGGAAGAGGTAATACTGCACCTTTTTTTTTAAATATATTTTCTGAAATTACTTGAACTTGCACTTGCTTGAAAAATAATCTGCTTTGTGGTTCAGCACATTTCTAACATATTACGCTAATACTTATTATTAAGATACATCCGCATAAACATAGTTTGGAGTGAATATTTCCAAATTATGAATGTATGTGTACAATGAAATTCTTTTCTATGATGAAAAACTTTTCCGAAAAATATGCAATAAAGTGTAAACATAAATTTGTTTTTATTTGAAAAAGTCAACTTACTGTTTGAGTTTTCTATTGGAAAATTTTTTGGACTTTTTGAAAAATCACTGGAAGAGAGAAGAAGGATATTTTTTTTTACGATCATAAAAGTAGTGAAGTAGAAAAAAAAAATTATCATAAATATCTTATCAATGTTAAAAATCTTGATAACTGCATACTTCGTTTTAGCGTTATAAATGGAGTTTACCTTTGTTATAAAACCGTTCCACTGTCAGCGGCATCGTTGACCGCTCAGCCATATGCCAACATAGAGTAAGTGTCTCAATTGGAAAATCTGTTGATTAATTTTTGCAAACAAAGAAAAGTGCCAACGTCATAATAATTAAAAAAAATAATAATAAATAAAAGATTGTTCCAAACGTCGTCGCCAACACCGTCAAACGGTACGCCGCACAGGCCAGCCCCAGAACGGCCGCCAAAACCGAAATTCACATCAAAGCAGCAGCAGTCACCCGCGACAAACGGCCTATATCCGCAAATAAGCCCGGCAAAGTCCGAAGAGGCGGATCAAGACTACGAGGTGCTGAGCACAAGTGCAAGAGTAAAGCCAACGCGACCCGCGCCAAGGCCACCGCCTAACAAATCACCCCAGGTCAGCTCCGTGCCATACGGTACGCTCTCAGGCTCGTCAGATCTCGATGGAGTTCCTTTTGCACTTAATCCTCAACTCAGCTTTGATACACCGAGTTTGCTTGATGTGAGTCGATCTATTTTTCTGTGGCTTGATTGAAATTACGTTATTATTTTGATAAATTGTTGAACAATCGGAAATTTACGTGATTTATGTCGTTGCAGAAGAACTTTCCTGTGATTAGTATCCGAACTCAGAAGGAGCTGGATAAAGAGGTATGTGTTTTGAAAGAATAACCAGCATCAGACACGTTTAATGGTTTCGTTGCTAATGAGGTTTATCGATTTTATTACAGTATTTCTACGACTTTCGGACTGAGAGGGAAACTTGAAGTCATATCGTGCCAATTGAATTGCTTGAAATGTACGGATTTTCAGCTATATGTATACATCTGTATCGGATAATATGATATAGCTCTAGCCATGTGTAAGAGTGCCTGAACGTGAATGATTCATAACGTGAAATAATCAGTTCAAAACGAGACAAACAAAACACAAGCAATCCATTCATCGTCTCGTTGAGTGATAAAGAAATGTGGAGTACTAATAAATTTAAGTGGTGTCGTTATGCTCGTTCTGCTCGCTAATATAATTTTCACCCCACAACACGACTTCCACATTTCTCATTTCGAATGTCTATAATAGTAGTCACCATGAGGATTGTATTTTTATAGACCTGCGTTATTTTATTGTTCGTAGGAGTTACATAAATATATATATATATATATTTAAACCTTGTACGATATGTTTTAGTTAATTATAAAAAAAAGGAAAAAAAAAAAAAAAAAACGAGAAACAAATACAGAAATATTTAACAACACTTTACACTACTGCGTCAAGAGCTTATAAATATTGAGTAAGAAATTTTTTTAATAAAAAAAAATACTTTTTTTCTAAAACAATACTATTTGCAACTTCTTACACATCCTTTTATTTCCAGCTCCAACGGGGTCGTAAAATAATCAAAATAATGTTGATAATACATATTTTTTAATAAAATAAAATAAATACATTACATCATCATCATCATTATTATTATTAATTCATTTTACAATTTCATTTTTTTTTAACTTGTACTTTTTTTAAAGCTATATTTACACGAGTAACATTTTACATGCAGCTGAATTATCGGTGCAAGTGATATACGTGTAACATCACACGTAACTTGTTAAAAATCTTTTATCCAACAATTGTACAAAATATTATGAAAAACTACAACGCCATAACGAATAACGCATTTATATTTTCATTTTTACGCTCATTGCAAAACACAATCACAAAATAATTCACATACATATGTATTTGCACATTATTAATCACTGCTTCCTCGACTTGTGTTATTTACATCATTCGAATTTTCTATTGCATACGACAAAGTCTGCCCAAGGAATATGCAATGGTGACAATTGGTTTATGATTGCACCTACACTTTCGAAGCGCACGCGACTAATTATTTAATTTACAAGTACTCCCACACAGCGATTGAAATAAATTACAGTTTCGCGGAAACGTTCGGTCGGGAACGATGACTATTTAATTTGCGCGCATTAGGACACACACGCAACAATACAACGAAATGACATTCGCACTGTCGACTAAGTACGATGATAATTATGTCTGCAAAAGTGGAGAGAGAAGAAAAAAAAAAAAAAGCTATTTACAACCGACGATTTATAAAAATACGATTAGGTATCGTTCATCACACATTTAATACACTTGACGACACGCATGTGGTCCTGGTGTAGTAACTTTGCCCTTACAGCTGGTCAACCTCGGCCCCCTCCCCGCGTAGAGGAGGAGGAGGAGGAGGCCCACCGAAGCGCGCTACGAGACACGACACGCTCGGCCAGTCGTCAAACGAACGGCCCGGTCCAGTGCTTCGTTAACGTCGTCGTCGACGGAGTCGAGCCCACCGCGCCAGGGGTACTCATGGTAATGCCGTGCCTCTCCATAACGGCGCTCGCCTTGATCTTACTCTTGTACTTGACGTCCTTGGGCTTGAGCATACTCTTGTGGTTGCTCAGCAGCCGCGAGGGCGTCAGGATCGACTTGGTACTGAGGCCCGTGGCCTCGAGAAAGCTGTCGTAATTGCCGACGTTGCCGTTGTTCACCTGCTGCGAAATATCCGTCGTGGCAGCGGTACTGTTGCCGTCGTCGTCGTTGTTGTTGTTGTTGTTGTTGTTGTTGTTGGTCTCGGCGCTACTGTCTGGGCTGGCGACAATGACGTTGACCAGTTGGGCAACGTAGGTCTTGGAGCCGTCGGTCTCCACCCGGTCCAGCTCGTCCGACAGGTCGCACTCGTCCAGGTTGAACTCCTCAAAGTTCTCCTTGATGTCCCCCAGCTCGTTCTCGGCCACTAGGGGCATCGATGGCTTCTTTGGCGCCTCGCCTTGTTCCCGGCCGTTGTCGCCTTCGATCTTAAACTCCTCGAACTGCTTGACGATGTTTGTGACCTTGGGCAGGGGCCGGGAGGTCGGTTCGGGCGACCCCCTGGGCGAGACCTCGGGCTGCTGCTGGCGTATCTGGAAGGACGAGCGCACGTTGTTGAAGCGGTTCTTCCAGAAACTCGTGGACTCGCTGCTGTTGTTGTTGGTTGGGTCGCTGGTCCTTCTGGCAGGGACGATGCCGTCAAACTTGAGGCTGCGCGCTATCGTCGTCGTTACGGGAAGGGACTTGTTGCCGCTGGCGATCTTGCCGAGATCGCTGTTGTTGTTGTTCTGGTGTTTCTTGCGCGCCGTCGTCTCGTCGATGAGAAAAGACGGGCTCGGGATTTTCTTGAGGATCAGCGTGTTGTGGAACTGGGGCTTCGGGGGTAGCGCCGGGGGCAGCTTGGGCGCCGTGGGGGGAATTATCATTTCCGGCAGGGACTCGATCTCCTCGTAGTCGAGGTTGTTCTTGGCTATCGACAAACCCATTTTTGGGAATTGCAGGCACGTCTTCTCGACGAGCTTCTCCAGGCGCAGTTGATTCGGCAGATGTCTGCCTGTCTCCGTTGGTAGAGGCCTGGCGGAAGAAAGTTGAATTTCTAATAGGCCTTTAAAGAATATAATCCTACTCCGCTATTTTTAAAGATATTAATTTTAAAAAAATCTAATTTTTTATTTTTATTTTTCCAGGTGATTTTCGTGTAATATTGCCCATATCCGGATGACTCGCCAACTTACCGCAACAAGTCGGCAGGACTCTTGCGCAGCTCCTCGACTTTGACAACAGGCTCTATGATGACGATCGGCCGAGCCTTGCTCTCGTCCACGTCCTCCTCGAGTCCCGACTCTGGACCCACGGTTGGCAGAATCCTCACGCCGTACTCGTTCTCGGAGATGGACGCGTCGAAGCCGTCTATCGATGGCGCCTCCTCATTGTCCCCCTACAATACCAATCGTCAAAGAAAAGAAAAATATCGATAAAAAAAAAAGAAACCACGACTCCGTACCTCCTTCATGTCCCCCTCGTCCGTGGTAATGGTAGCTGGTACCGCGGTGACAGTCTGTCCAGGTTCCTCGGAGTTCCGCCTCTCCATTTCCGAGCCCACGGACTCAATGTCCGACAGTCTAGCCGGCTGGAACCTGACGATCTTGCCCCTGTGCTTGAACCTCCGTGGTGCCGACATCACGTTGTTCTCCTCGTCCTCCATGTCGCGCAACAGTATCTGGTTGACGCTCTCGAGGACGCTGTTGTGGTTCCCGTTCGGCCTGTACACGCTGTGTCGCAGTATCTCGTCGTTGGGCAGCCGGTCCTCGTCCGGGTCGCTGTACCAGTTGACCGACGGCGACTCGTCGAGATGCCCCGTCCTCCCTATCGTCCTGTGGAAAGTAATCCCAAAGTTAGTACCCGCGTTCAAGCTTGTTTAACCCCCATCTCCCGCACTTGCCTGTTGTTGTTGTTGTTGTTGCCGCATTCGTTTCCGGCCAAGGTCGTCTCGTTCCGGAGATTCCTCGCGTTGTTCTCGTACAAGGGCTCGTCGTCGTCCCCCGACACGTAATTGCAGTCCAAGCCGTCGTCCTTGCTCTCCGACCTGGCCATCTTTGCGTTGCCAGGCTTCTCGTCCATCATCTTGACCTCGTTCTCGCTGTCGGTCGTCACGATGGTCGGCGTACAACGGCTCGACGACTTGTTCAAGGTGGAACCGGGCGACACGTCCGTCGACTCGCCCTCGCAAAAGCCCTCGGTGCTCAACAACGACGGACTCCCCTCGGTCGTCGTCGTGATTATCGATGCGTCCGTGTTCTCGCTCGACGTCAGGCTCGCCTTCGATATGTCGCTACCCGCAAAACTGTGCGTCTTGCGTATGTTGCTCGCGCACGCCCCGTCCTCGTCGCTCAGCTTCGTCATTATCTCGCACTTGAGCTTCTGGATGTCCTTGCTCAGGCCACTGTCGTTCAGGTCCTGCAACCAAAATTACCACTCGTTCAACAATGTATGTATACCCACGCGGTGGTGTTTGTGGAGGGAGCGAAGCAAAGTACCTGGAAATCCGAGGGGTCGAGAGACGCGAGATTACCGATACTCGTGGCCTCGAGTTTGCCGCAACTGTAATCCTTGCTCGGGCAATTGTTCGCCCACCGGCTGCTCAGCCTGGCGATCTCGAGCTGTTGGTTCCGGATGATCGCGTCCTTCTCGCCGAGCAGGGCCCTGATGGTTTTTTGCTCCTGCTTGAGCCGCGACTCGAGCACCAGCAGGGCCCTTATGATGCGCGACAGCTGCTGGTCCCTCAGGGAGCGCTCGCGTTCGCGTTTCGCGCTCTGGCTGTCGAGTTCGCGGGATAGCTCGCGGCAGCGCTTCGTCGACGCGCGCAGCGAGTCCTGGGCGCGGGCTACCTCCTGGCGCAGGTTCCGCACCTCCGACTCCATCTGAAAGACAATAAACGGACATGTTCTCTCTTTCTTTTTACGTACACGTGCGTATACATTTGTGTGAAAAATGAATAGATGAATAAACGAAAGCAACGTTAATGTAGCTCGAGCGAGCTAAATTATAGTGGTATGACCAAATTGCCCCGTCAGTTTGATTATCCCGTAACTGCGAGTCAGCTGTTTATTAGACCAACCGACTGAAAATATTTACAAGGCCCGGCTAATTGTCCTCGACCAATGACCCGTTGCTCGTTTTTTTTCAACCGGGCAGTGATGTCATGTCCCTCGAGGGACCATTGGTACATTATACAACAGCCGCACGAATCGCCGCAACGAATGAAAATCCACACCAAAATTTAAATAACAATACAACGCATCATGTATTGCGTAAAGGGGCAGTGCGAAGAAAGTTTTGTCATGCAGAGGCGCGCTTCGTCGCGTGAGCTCTGAATTCCATTGCTCCCCGAAAGGGATACCGTAAACTGCACAAAAAAAACAACGAATTTTGTACCAGATGTCAGTTTAATTTCTTTGGATGTATAATACACTGACGCGCGCAGTGCGCAAAAAAAAAATTTTTTTTTTAATAAAGTAGAAGGCAATCAGGCAAATCGTTTGTGCGAAAAAAAATTATGAAAAATGTTTTAGAAACAGCACTCATTTTATGCAACGTTCTGCGGCTCGCTATGACCTCCTATCGATGCACGGTGGCGGTGTGTATATACCTACGCTTGTACATAGCGAAAGCGCGCGCACGAAAAAACCGTTGGTCAAGAAAGTCTCTCTGTTTTGCTCGCTGCTTGGGGCCCGATGCTGGTTGACCAACAGCACGGTATACGGGCACACTTTTCGATGCCCGCGTGCGCCACTTTGTTCGTGCATATATATATACAATGGTCGCGCAGCCGTGACGTGGGTGTATCTATGCCGTGGTAAAATAACCGATGCCCATATAGTGCTACCGTATGTGCACAATGTGCAATTCTGTCTTTCCGTGCTCCTTCTTCTCCTCTACTATACTTATGAGTATTGTAATGATAAAACACGCGCGAGGATGAGATGTAGAGGAGGTGTAGCAATGAGGCAAGAAGAAAGAGAATTTATGTAAATAATATTTGGTTTGGGTTTCGATATCGTAGAGCTGGACGCCTTGCACGTGTTTTTTATTATTTTGTCTAAAGCATCTGTTTATAATTATATGTAATACTCTACGAATTTCGAATGAGAAATGAAACTCGATTTTCTTCTCGAGGTAGATGTATTTTTTCAACATTTTTAAGAAATGATGTACCCCTTGGTCCAATCACGTGTAAATTTTATCATCAGATCTGATATGTTTTTACATAACAGTCCTAGCTTTTTTTTCCTTCGCCAAATATACAGTTCAGTTATCCCATTCTCCAACGCAGCTCCAGCTTGTCTTATTGTTCACTTGAGCTATATCCTTGTTTCTGAGGAAATAAGCTATAGATTTCTTTCTATGGTGACCTGTCTATTTAAAAATAAATATATAAATAATTGACAAATAATAATGGTGATTACAAACTTTTTTTTTATGCGTATTTCTAATAAAGTAAGAGGTCATTTTGTATATTTCTAGTTATTGGTACATTTTGCAGATCATCCCTATACAAGTGGAACCGACCTACCCATCTACATCGAACTATTTGTTATGTTATGAGATATTCCGTGTTGTATTCTGTCAACCAAATGAAAAATGAAAATTTTGTACAGTAATTTTTATCGTACAATCAACAAATTATCATGTAGTATCGCCAGTTTGTTTTTTTATTTTACTTCTCTGAATGTTGCAACAAAATTCGTAGGCGGTGGACTCATGGGCTCCCTATATACATGCAACCTTGAAGATCGGTGGCGGAAAAAAAAAAAAAAAAAAAAAAAAAGGAAAAAGAGGAAAAGCAGTTTACGCGAGAGTAAGTCTCAAAGGGGGCGCGGGACAACCTTTGACCAGCAGAAACGGCAACATGTACAGGTATACAAGCAGAGGACAGGCAGGCAGGTATCTAGTGAGCTACGGTCGTCGAGGCGTGCTTGGTATCCCCCCTATATATGTACAAAATTATCTTTTGACCTGCTATTATGTACTGATGTTACAAACATTGTAGAGGTACATGTTACCACGATGACGAAAATTATTTTTACCCATCTCAGCAATTTACGTAATAAATACCCCCCACCGACATTTTTGGGATCCCCGTTGTTTCGTAAAATTGCTAGTTTTTATGTAAATCGAATTATTTCGAAGGTCAAAAAGAATTTTACATTCAAACTGTTTCTGCATTTTCAAAATGATAAACACGAGTGCCACGCGCTTCGACTCACGTAGCTCACTCCCGCTTTAGTATTGCGGAAACAAAAATGTTTTATCTCCGAGATAGTATTTTCCTTAGCGACAAAAGACCACGTTTATTTTTAGAACAAGACTAAGTAGCCGGTTATCTTGAAAATTATTTTTCCAACGCAAACAAGCTATCTAATGCATGAAAAAAAAAAAAAGGAAAAAAATATGCAGTACCCGAGTGAAAAAACCCCAAACACTCAAATCGCGTAACAACACACGTTCTTGTCGTTCATCTTGTAATGTGCGAATCCTCAATGTATTTTTCAACGATGTACCCTCGGACACGCTCGAGAGAAACAAGCCGCAAATTTTCGAGAGAGAGAGAGCGAGCTGCAATTATTGGCCGACTGTGTAAGTATACACGTGGCCATCAGCCAAGACATGCGTATTTTCGAAATTACGAAAATCGCCGGGGAGGAAGACGGAGACGACGCGTGCGTGAATTAACGACCACGAGGAAGTGCGCTGTACGAGCGGCCTTGAACTTGAACGTGACTTCTCGGACGTCAAGTTTTTACTGATATTTTTTTTTTTTAATTTATTTATTTTTTTCTTTTCAGCTACTTTTTCCTCCTGAAATTTGCCTTACCGGTGACGTATTACATGTTGTAAGTAAGACTATAATATTGAGAAAGGTTTGCTCAAAAAGATATGAGCTTGAATTTATAGTTGTACATCCCCATGAGCGACGAGCGAGAAATATGTTATAATGTACTGTAACATTAATGACAAAAGCCTATTACGTTGTGTTGGGCTTTGTGTTTATAGGGTACCATTTATTTGTTGATGGCACTGCCGTCGAAAAGACATTTATTGAGTGGCCATTCATCATACGACAAAATTTCAAGCGCGTACTTTTATACATACGCTTACGTATGGACGAATTTGACAAATGTAATTGCGGTTACGACGCGACGAGGATGACTCCGTTTACTCTGTTGCAATGGTAATTGTTTGTGCTCGTAATAATACCACGTAAAAGAGAAAGTCGACCGCCGCGTGGCCAAAAATAACAAAGCCGAGCTCGTAACACGTAAGTGCAGCGTAATTCGCAATTTTTTTTTCTTTTTTTTCTCGAAAAGAGAAAGTACGACCTCCTTCGTATGCGAGAGCACTTTGTTGTTATTTAAATGGAACTGTTTCGAGCTTTTAAAATGTTACTACATCGAATTTCATGAGTATACTGCTACTATGCACTTTACAATGAAACATTTTCGAGCACACAATGTATCGTGAGACCCTTTTTTTTAAGTTTGAAGTAAGACCAGAGCAAAAAATTCAAGTATCCGGAAATACCCGAACGTTGTTTCTCAGAAAAATAAGGGCACTCTAACGTAACAAACGAGTATGTCCTTGGCGATTTTTAGCGGGACCGATCTATTTTTAGGATCACATCAAAAGTAGCAAGGACACGCCGCTGTATTGACCTCAACTGAAAAATCGATCAAATTTTAACCTAAGGAACATTATGTACAAATCGTTTTTTCGTTTAAAAAATGAATTCTATATGCGAAAATCTTTTGGATTTTTTTTATTTATTTTTTTTTTTTATTACATTCTCTGTGTTAACAATTTTTATTGAACAGGCCGAGGGGCTGGTCACGTGATTCACAAGTTTTGTGATTCACAATGATTTAAATCTTTTGAATCACAAAAAAAATAAGATTCACAAATATTCACTAGTAATTTGAATCTTGTCACACATGGCCAGCTCTTGAATCACATGGCCAGCTCCTCGGAACAGGCATCAGTAATGCTGACGTCGTGAGGAAGAAAATTGCTACTTATTTTAATTTTCGGTTGAAAAGTCATTTTAAATAAAGACTACAGGTATTTCGAGCTGGGCCGTCTGAACAATGTCAATCAAGTTGAATAGGCGATTTCGGGTTTTTCTCGTAAATTGTTGGAAAAAAAAACTTTTTTTACTTGACACTTGTCTTTCTGATAGTTCATTTTTATTGGTATAGCTATCGTTTACCAATCGAGAAAAAAATATGTTCCAAGACTATCGCCCTTCCAACAAAACATTGAAATAACTTTTACCGAACTTCTTCCTATGAATAACTTTAATAAAAATAGTTAATACCAACCAGGAATATTTTAAAGTTAGACATGACTCTGAAGTTGAAAATTTCCGTGGTTTACTGTCAACTAGCCCATACTTTTAATCGACGAAATGTCCCTTGATAACTACATATATGTAGCTACATGTATATACACTATTGCACGAGGCATCTAATCACCTCCGTTAAAACTTTTCTTTTACATATGTCATGAAATAAAAACTTTGCATCCAGCCGACAAAAACTCAATGAATCATTCCCTCGGCAACCTATCTCCACTGCCTATCTGCTCCAGTACGAGCTCTCCATTTTTTTTATCCTACACGTGAAACAGCGATTTCATGGGTGTCCACAACGCGACAACAAAGTCAACGCGTCCAGCGGCATCAAAACCAACAAACAAAAATCGCGAGAAAACGAAACCTTATACAGCGGACCCGTGAAATGTCCATCAAATCGACCTTGACTATCTGGAAAAAAAAAAAAAAAAAAAAAAAACCTCCCGCACGTTCACCGATGATGTCAGTGTGTACACGCATTTTACACGTACACAACACGCAGTAAATAATGTA